TTTAAGCATTAAAAATGTGAAACATAGGTTGCACACTGTTATAGTTCAAGTTGATTAAGAAACAGAAAAGAGGCCGACTATTAGTAGCAAAAATATATGCAATTGTCTGAATGAATGAAAAGGCTTCAAAAATTATATGAATCTCACTTATATCCTTCACACATATCTATATTACGAAAGCCACCATTACTACTAAAGAGAATTGTCGAATATGATACAATTGCACAACATAAGGCATATCAGTCTCTTTGCTGCTAACTATAAAAACAAAACAAGTTACAACTTATTATTTCCAAGAATGTCATCATAGAATGAGAAACATTCCTCATGAACCCTTTTATATGCACAAATATAAACAAGTCCTACTCCTTAATTTAAAGCTAATATAACAAAAGAAAATATACCAATCGAGCTAAAAAAGAAAAGGAAAAAAAATGGAAAGAACATGACAACGCTAAAACAAACCTAACTACAAATGCTAATGGCAACCTAGGGTTACCAAATTTCGGTGTAAAATGCATTCGATCAATCAACCAAAATTATAAACATATTTCAATTTTTTTTACTTGAGATGAAATTTCAACCTTCTTGTTCTCAGCAATAACTCCAGCTATGAATGACAGAACACCAAAGGTTGCCACTATCAGAGACATTTGTTTCATAGTAAATGCCATTGCTTTTTTAACTATAGAAAGCTACCTGCGTCAATTTTCACCATAAAGATCAGAAAATCCAAAATTAAAAATTGATACATTATTATGTGAAATTAAATCCAATAAATTAAAAAAAAAATTGAAGAAAAAACCCCTTTTGAAATCAATTGCATCCTTCAAAGAAAAACAAGAACTACATAAAGATTAACCATTGTGCAATCAAAACTCAAAAACCATTCAGAAAATAAAAAACAAAAATTCTACATAAAAGTATATGTTTATGTACCTTGGGATCCCGAAAGAATCGATGAAGGATGAAATTCAGATCTCTGTATGTACGAGTATGTGTGTGTGTATATATGTGTGTGTGTATTCAACGCTGACGAATGAGTGGAAAAGAGGATAAAGAGGGACTCCTATACCGGGTAATTATTTGAGAATTTGTATTCTAGTGGAATTCTAATTAAAACGACCTTCCCTAGTGGGGAGGGATATATTACTCCTAAAGATCCAAACCAAATTTTTAATAGATTTTAATAAAAATTGATAAGATGTGTGGTTGAAAAGTCGTGGATCTCCATAAAATAGTAAAAATTAACCAACTTTGATTTGAAATTTGGGAAGATTTCATAACTAAAAGATTTAGTTTTAGCATTTTTAAATTTAAGAGATGAAGTTTAAAATTTCAAACGTCAGAGTTTTTATTTTATTTTATTTTATTTATAAATAAATTAATTAAACATATATTTTAATAATTAAATATATTAAAGTGACAATTTCATATAATTTGATCACAAATTTCATATAATTCACAAATCACAATTTTCATGTCACAAATTATTTTACGGTCACAATTCAAAAATTTTATAGGTCACAATTTGTTCATCGGACACAAATCGAAAATTTTATACGTCACAATTTATTCATCAATAACAAATTTATCAAATTAATAAATCACATATTATTCATTGGTTACAAATCACAAATTTTATGTCACAAATTATTTTCACGTCACAATTCAACAATTTTTTAGGTCACACATTATTTTTTGGTCACAATTTATCTTTTTCATTAGTCGAATGTTGTTTATCGATCACAAAATAATCAATTTAATGGTTACAAACAATCAAATAATCTGTGACCACCATCAACAACTGTGACTACAACCTCACAACTACCACCAACAGAATGACAATCGAAATCCCGTCATCGAAACCACCACCACCACCACCTCCCGATAGCAAACTATTGTCTAAAAACATCGACATCACCACAACCACCACTACCCCACCCACAACCACCGTACCACTACCACCACTAAAACTAAAACCATAGAACCTCCACCACCACTCCCATCCTACAACCCAAACAAAATTCCAACCCTACCATCATTGCCGTCGCCACCACCATCTCCATCATAGTCGCCACCACAACTACCATCTCATCTATCTTCATCTCAACCACACTATAACTGCCAACCCCACTAAAAAATTCCCAAACCGCCATTGCTACCACGACCACCACAGCAACCACGATGCTGCACCACAACCACCACCAATCGCCAAAATCAGCACCACCACAGCCACCACCAACAACCGCAAACACAACAAAAAAAATCCAGAGATAAACACCATTTACACATCCACACGTCATATCCAACCACCACCTCACCAAAGATCCACCACCACGCCCACCATTTATTCAGCCATACGTCGCGGCAAAAAGAAAATGGAGAAGGGGAAGAGAGAGAAGGAGAGAAAGAGATTAGGGGCAACATAGGTGCGTGAAACGTCGCGACACTGCGCTAGGTACTGGTTGGTCGCCGGAGTAGGAGCAGGCTTTCTTTTACCTATTAACGTTGAAGCCGCTGATAGGAGAGGGAGGGAGGGAAGGAAGATTAGGTAATGATTTGGGATTTTTAGGGTTTGGGTAGTATTAAAAATTTGAATTAATATCTGATTTTTGTATAAATAAATTTTATATCTGATTTTTGAAATTGAATTTTTAAAATTTTGGTTTTGTGTAATTTCCTCTTGAAATTTTATTTAGTTTTTAATCCAAACCAAACAGGGGCGTAGCAACAGGTCGTGTTACAGTGGACCCGAGGATCTTGTGCAAGTGAATCTGGTCAAAGATTCTGAGACCAGTCAGTTTGGGGGACATCAAGTATGGGCCCGGTTTGCGTTTTGACTTTTCTATACTCGCTGTGATCAATCCAACATTGTTTGAGTTCGCGCCCATACTCGGCTTTTTTGGGGTTAAATTTACGTTCTTTTATTCATTTTTCCTCTTTAAGTTTCTGATGTTAATAGATCATTTTTAAGATAGCCGAAGAATTTTATGATTGATATGTTGGAAAATACAAGATTTTTATTACATTGTGTATCAACAAGAATGAAATAATTTGGAACAAAAATAAACACATAGGTGTTTTAGGAATTACCCTTGTAGCGCGCGTTACAAAAAAAATTCCTTTGATCTTTGAACTCCTTGATTCCACCTTCAAACCTCCTTGTTTGATTTTCTTGATTTTTATCTTCAAACCTTTTAGCCTTCTCTAGTGTTCTTCAAGAACTCAAAAAATAAACTGTAGGATAGTTTCTTTGTGTGTGGGCACAAGAAAAAAATTTTCACGTATTAATTAAACCACCATCAAAAGGTATGTGCCTATTTTGTGGATTTGTTTCACAAGTATTCCAATCCCAAAAGAACTCTCTTTTGATTGGATAAAAATTCCTCAACCAAAAAGGAATCTTTTATACTTATCCAAATCATAACCTCCATATCTAGATGGCACATGTTTGGCACATGCAAAATTTGTTCCGGTTTAAATAATAATATTAATACAGTTAACGATAAATTATAACTCTTATAATTTATCCGGTTCTTATTTTGAAGCCACTAAAGAGACCAAACGGACCCAATTAAATCAAGCTCCAATAAATTAATCTTGACCCAATCAACTCTTGATTGGTCTAGATAATTTATTAATAACGTTCTATTCCACTAAAAAAAATGTGATTGCACTCTTGTTTTAATTGAAATTACTGAAGCTACAATAATTATATCTTCTGACAAATTGCTCTTATATATTACCCTCGTTAATCACGTAGAATATTTGGAACTAGGTAAAATTGATCAAAAACTATTTTCCAAATATGTATTAAATCCTCAATCCCATTTTCTGTTTGACAGTTNGCATCGAGATATTGATCAGTAATTTAATCTCACTTATTGATACCTCAAATAACTTCAAGTTGGTAATTAAAGTTCATTACTCGCTCAGGATTAAGGTTCTACATACAATAGTCACGTGAAATTAAATTCAAGTGGTCAACTACATAAATTAATTTCACGTGGTTCAGTCCAATACATTCCAAAAAATGTACAATCAATTTTATTGCTATAGTCAAGATCAACTTTGAATAAAATTGAGACAATCTTATCAAAATGAAGTGTTCGTCTTCATTTACCGATTGTGGACAATAAACTTTTAGATCGGGTTACAAATCAAATCGTTTCGTGTTTAAAAACTTAAACACTTGATTTATAATATCAAGCATTCCATGAACAAAATGCAAGCTCGAATTAATACAAATAATTCACTAGAACAATAATTTATTATTTCAAAATGTCAGAAATAAATTTACTCGAAGGGC